TATATATATGATCATGGCAGATATAGTTGCGCACGACTGTAATCCCAGCACTCAAGAGGCTGAGGAAGTAGGATGGAAAGTTCGAGGACAGTCTGGGCTACACGGAGAGACCCTGTTTCAAACACACAAACACACACAAAACAAAAATCACACCAAAATTCACATACAGTAAGATAGGGTCAGACTGAGGCACTATCTCAAAAGACAGATTAATGCTTAATGGAGATACTTCTAAGAGACAAATTGGAAAACGGCATATCCTAAATTAATCTGGTTGGATTATGTGATGAGGATTAAATGAAAAAACAAAGGCAGGAAGACCAGTTAGTAAAGTACTCTATGAATGGGAAAATAATAATGTGAAAATGAATGAGAAGAAAGAAGATAGGGGTGGGGGTTAAGAGGATGGAGAGATGGCTTACAGTTAAGAGTGTGTACTAAATTGGGCATGGTGGTGCATGCCTTTAGTCACAGCACTTGGGAGGCAGAGAAAGAGGCAGGAAGAGCTCTGTGAGTTCAAGGTAAGCCTGGTCTACATAACAAGTTCCAGGCCAGCTGGGGCTACAGGGAGACCCTGTCTCAAAAAAAAAAAAAAAAAGTCCTACTGTAGAGGACTCAGGTTTCTAGCACACCTGTTTGGTGACTCTCAACCCTTGCAACTGCAGCTCCAAGGGGATCTGATGCCTCTGGCCTCTGTGGGCACCTGCACTCATGTGCACATATCCACAAGCAAACATATACATATAATTAAAAATAATAAAACTAGGGGCTGGAAGATGCGGGTGGTGGCACATACCTTTAATCCCAGCACTCAGGAGGCAGAGGCAGGCAGATCTCTTTGAGTTCAAAGTCAGCCTGGTCTACATCATGAGTTCCAGGGAGACCCTGTGAGGGGGAAAAAAACCACTAGGAGCTGGAGAGATGTCTCTGCAGTTAAGAGCCCTGACTGCTCTTGCAAAAGACCAGGGTTTGAATTCCAGCACCCTCCATAACTCTAGTTCCAGGGGATCTGACACCCTCTTCTGTCCTCCATAGGCACAGGTGCACTTACACACATGTACGCATAACACTTATACACATAAAATAAAAATAATAAAAAATAATAAAACTAAATTTTTGCCTGGTGTGGTAGCACATATCTTTAATCCCAGCACTCAGGAGGCAGAGGCAGGCTAATCTTTGAGTTCAAGGCAAGCCTGGTTTACACACGGAGTTCCAGGTCATACGGGGATACACAGTGAAACTCCGTCTCAAAAAACAAAATAAACAACAATAATAACAAAACCCAAACAAACCTAAAAACAGAAGGAAAGACTTTTTTAAAAAGCTTATTCAAAAGTGGGTAAAATTGGACAAAAGACAGCTACATTAAACCAATAGTGTTAAGTCAGTAACCAAGATGATAATGAACACAGGAATATATTAAGATAGAAGGAATCATTAAGGAATCCCTAATTCCCTTTACTGGAATTAATTTGCGACCCCTGGTAAACATTTGCCAAATTAATGCTTGTTCTGTTCCTCCATCTGGTGGAAGATGTTTGAATTGCAGGCCAAAATCCAACTGCAGCCAAACCAAGCTTTCTGAAGAGTCAGATTCCCAGATAAATCTGCATGACAAATATTCACAGGGACAACCTACTAGACGCGTGGCTGGGCATCAAAAGAGAATAATCAGTTACTTAAAGCCCCACAGATCCTAACTATAAAGTAGAAAGATTCATGGACTTAGCCTATAGTGGAAATACTGTTCTCACATTCCTAGCTGTGAAGCCAAAACAGGCTATATGAGTTCCCTGAGATCTGTTGTGAGACTACTTGCCCTATAGGAAGTTTGTAAGGATAATTAATAAACGAAGTGCTTCTGTCAAACAATAAAGTACAAATATTGGCTTAACTACCATTATCAGCATCATAATTATACATTTATACATTTCCTTCTCTTCAATGTTTGGCCTGAACCCTAGTTGGTTCTGACTGACAGGGTCTTGGTAAATC